AAATGGAATGATGAATTGTTGAAGGATTTTGAAAACGGAAAAAATGATAGCCATGCCGGCCCAGCATCCTCAACGTTGAAAAATGCCCCGGCACGAAGTGGTTAAAACTGGGCCCCACACCTGAATTGTTGTTGTCTTTTAAAGTTCTTCTTCATTTGGTTGCCTCCAAATTAGTGCACGGTGACTTGCGGAGATGGTGTCAAGAACCGAGAGGTGACGTGCGACGCTGGCGAGTTCCAGTGTCCTGATGAGGAACCGGCTTCCACCACTACGTGCAACTTAGGGGAATGTCCTCAAGGTATGCTCAAAAAGCAAGAAGAAAAGAAAAAACAAAGCTAGAGATTGCAGTCCGTGCGCTAGATGTTCAAGACTTGTTTTTCCTTGGGGTTGGACTTCAACTCGGGGTAGATACCACTACTCGTGACTTGAAGTATTTTGGTGGATGCAGAATCTAATTGGCACATTATTCCAACTTTAGTAGGCTAGAGGGCGCATCAGATGAAAACAGGGGAGTACTCATGTGCAATCTTGCTTTCCTTGGTTTTTCGTTTCATTTCTAGAAGGGCCAACTTTCAGGTGGAAGGCCCACCCGTGGCGGCCTTGCTCCCACACCTGCGGGACCCAGGGCACCCAGATCCGTACAGTCACCTGCTCCAAGAGGCTCGGCCAGAAGATCTCCACCGCCCTGGAGAGCAAATGCACTGAGGAGAAACCCGCTACAACCCAACCCTGCAATCGTGAATCATGCCCTGTGCAATGGAGTGTGGGCGAATGGTCAAGTGTAAGTTTTCAATCACGTTTTTTGAAGCAACTTTAAGTCTGAAGAAAGTGTTAGCCTCAACTGTTAGTCTCAAGGAACTGACAGTCTCAGTCACTGCATCAACCACCCATGATCAATTCAACAGGAGTCTGTAATCAACAAGGTATCAGGAGTAATGTTTCAGTATATTTCAGAGGTTTTGTGTCATCGGAAACAAAAAAAAACACTCAGCAGGCCTGCACAGCACTGAGCGGCACAGGTTCCAACAGATTGGGGCTTCTGTTCTTTGTCTTTCATTGATGTTTCCATATTTGAAAATGAAATTCATCATCGTCTTCCTCCTTCATTTGGTTTCCTCCAATATAGTGCACAGTGACTTGCGGAGATGGTGTCAAGACTCGAGAGGTGATTTGTGGGGCACCGGAGAGTGATCCTGGCGAGTTCCAGTGTCCTGATGAGGAACCGGCTACTACTGCTACCTGCAACTTAGGGGAATGCCCTCGAGGTATGCTCAGAAACCAAGATCGTTCCTGTCCAGTGGTAACCTTTTGCTATGACAAGATAGATATGCCACCATTCTTGGCTTGAACTGTATTGGTGGATGCAAATTCTGATCAGCACAATATTTCAAATGGAGTGGGTTGGAAAGTGCGTCAGACGACAGCAATGGAGCGCTCATTCGGACTTTTGCTTTCCTTGGTTTGCCTTTCCAATTTTAGAAAGGCCAACTTTCAGGTGGAAGGCCCACCCGTGGCGGCCTTGCTCACACACCTGCGGGACCCAGGGCACCCAGACACGCACGGTCACCTGTTCTAAAAGGCTCGGCCGGAAGATCTCCACCGCCCTGGAGAGCAAATGCACCGAGGAGAAACCCGCTACAACCCAACCCTGCAATCGTGAATCGTGCCCTGCACACTGGAGTGTGGGTGATTGGTCTAGTGTAAGTTTTCAGCCATGTATTTCCAACAACTGCTAGTCTATAGGTTCAGTGATTGCAGTAATCTTCCATACTCAATTCAACTAGATTCTGTAATCAACAAGGTTTCTTGAGATAAAATTCAGTTTTTGCTTAGTCAGAAACACAAAAACACTCAGCAGGCCTGCACAACCTCGAATAGCACAGGTTCCAACAGACTGGAGTTTTTCATCTTTGTCTTTCATTAACGTTTCCATTTTTGAAGTTCGTGTTTATCTCCGTCAATTTTGCTTCCCTCAAATTCAGTGCACAGTGACCTGTGGAGATGGTTTCAAGAGTCGAGAGGTGATGTGCGGCGCGCCACAGAGCGACCCTGGCCAGTTCCAGTGTCCTGACGAGGAACCGGCAACTACCGCAACCTGCAACTTAGGGGAATGTCCAGAAGGTATGGCTCAGAAAGCAAAATGAAAGCTAGAGACTCTAGTCTAGGCTGCAAATGTTCCCTCAACCCTTCATTCCCAATGAGCCAGTTTGACATTTCCAAAAGGACAGTCATTCGAGAACAAAGCACTCTCAGGCACACGAGTCCACGTAGGATCATGCGGCTTGATAGGGCAGACTTGGCATGCGTGTCCGAATGACCTCAGATGCGCTTCATTTTGTGTTTGAACACCAAACTGGGTAATTGTAATTTCCTAGTACCCTCCACGTGGGTCCTAGATTCCCGGGACTATAATGTGTGAAGTTCAAGACCCTCAGATATTGAACGATCCTCTGCAAACTTTTGTCCCTCCTGGATTCGTTTAGAGACCGGCTGTGTACCCATGCAAAGCATCATCTGCCAGCGAGATCAGTTCCGTAGCTACTGTATGATGCCCAACTACGAAGACATCTGCTGCACCACTTGCGAGGAGCAGGAAAACCTTCTTGACGAGGAGAACAGTAAGAAGAAGAAGAAAAAGAAGAGGAAGAAGAAAGGGCGTGGCCGTTCGGGGAGGGAGGAGTAGCCACACCTAGGTGCCTTTACCGAAACTGACCGAGTGCTCTGCACTGCGCCCATTCCGTGCGCTGCCCTAGACCATTTCAATCTGTGCAGAACAGAGAAATCCTTGACAAATTAGCTCGTTCACGGCCTGAACAGAAATGAATATTTCTGATCTGCAAAGGCGCTAGGTAACCTCGGAGCCTCAAAGAACCATGGCCGGTTACCCAACTGATATACTACGGAGTGAGGTAATACTCCCCAACTAAATGGTAGCATTCAAGGAAATGCATATATTAAATTCACCAAAACTACCTCAACAAATATATCGATCAGTATTGATTCTTTTGTATTCATATTTATTGATTGCATCGACTGCTGGCATAGCTCATCTGCTACATTTGAGTGCACACTCCTAAACTCTCTCCAATGTCCTTGAAAACACTGGCTTGATCGGTGAGCATGCGAACTGGTCGCGGAAGAACGATCGTCAGTTTCGGAAAGGTGGCTTCACCCTGAAAGGGCTGTTTTTTTGTTTTTTTCCTATTCCCATCCCCCACCAAGATCTTGGTTGTCACATGACAAATCTTTTTGAACCATAGCGTGCATGTAGAGGCACCCGTTGTAAGTACATCTGTGAATTTTCAATTCAATCCGATTAAGGGTCGAGTTGTTCTCAACACTTTCCAGTTTACACTCTAACACAAGTAGGCCCGAGCGGTGGATTTGTCAATGGGAAGAGTGACTAATGCTGGCCTTGGGAGAAAATGGTTGTTTCACCAGAATAGTGACGGGTCAAATTTTTGGTCATTCACACCATGGAGAAAGGACACAGAAGGAGTTTGAACTGCCCGGGCTATAACATCTGGCCAATTACCGTTCTCTGGCATGCCCGGTATGTCCATAGCCAAAGCGTAGTGAATGCTTGCTAAGCACCACCTGTTTCACAACCATAAGCCCCCTTTGTACCCCATGATCGTCGCCACAATTTTTCGGAGATAATGTGCATCCTTAAAACATTGTGTACTGCAGTATAGGAAGTTGAATATTCATGCCATCGTTGGTGCTTGGTATGATCTGACATCAAATTTAATGCTTGCGCAGTTGCTTGTATTAGGCTGTGTGCCCTAAGTGTTCATGTGCAGTCGTTGCCCTGATCGAACACTTTCTTCTGAACTTATTTTGGGAATAAACAGCCAAGTTGTTTATAAGATATTGTGTTTTATCATTTTTATTACAGCATTTATACAAAATGTTATTTTATGAGATCTCATGATCACTCCTTGTGATGAAATAGCGCATTTTGTTTGTTATGAACTTAACTGTCCAGTGGTAGTTTACATGTTGGTGGCCAGTCTTAGCCAAAATCGTACAAAGAATTTGAAAACTGATGTTTTTAGAGAGACAAAATTACAAACATTGCAGGGATAATGGAACAGTGTATCAAACTAAAAAAAGTTTATTCACGATGGCAAAAGTAGATCTAATTTTAGAGATTTTTTGCACTCCATTTCCTGGTCACGGCGATAAGTTGTAGTTAATTACAAACAAAACACACCAAATATTGCTAGGATGTTACTAACCCTAATTGTCTGGCCAAGCTGCAGGCAGTAAATAAGCATTTTTGGAATGTTTACTATTGTTCGTCTGACCTGGCGGCGATGATCATCGAGCACTTTGATGTGCCAAAGTTGGAACTCTTTCTGTGTCCTTCCTCCATGTTCACACGTTGCCAAGTTTACTTTTGTGCTTTTAAGTCAACTTTGTGTGCTGCACTGGAACTTGCCTGGTGTTGTTCAAAGGAGACACATTTCAAACTCTTTTTATTTCCTTTAAAAATCTGGTGTCGTAGACGGTAGATGTTTAAAACCTGCACTCAAGCCAGTATGGAATGGTTGCCTGTCCAGACTGGAATGTACATCAGTCAGTGAAAGTAACATCTTGTATGTGTGTAACAAGGCATGACTTTGTGTTAAAGGGGGATTTACCTGACTATTAGCATACACAGTAGAGATGGTGCTCAAATCTCCTTAAACAGCGGTGTTTATTTTTTTAACCTACTGATCCTCAAAGAAAGCTATGCAACATTTTTTTTTGTATTCCTATAAATTAATTGGCAAAGCTATTGAAGTCTTTTGCGTGTATCTATTGAAGACTTTTGCGTGTATATAGGCATATATTAATTGTTGCTGTGTTACGTTTTCAAGACGTTCGGCACATGCATGTACATAGATATTTTCTTTCCGAGAAAGGACTTTGTAGTCTTAGTTGCTTGCATCATGGAAACCTTGGCATCATTGTACATTGTATTTTTAAAAATTGCTACACCCATATTCAGCATGGTTCTATTATATTAAGAGAGAAAAAGCACAGACTTGTTCTATGTAGTTCCCCCAAATTCGTTTATTTTAAAAATGACCTCTGAGGTGAAGAAAACGGGAAAGATGTGCTTGTATTTGAAAGTCAATGTTAAAAGTTACTCATATTAATGGTTCCTTTTGTAAACCTACCCTTGTTTCAATTCTGTTGCTTATTAAAGAAAAAAATTCTTTCGAAAGCACGAACGTATGTGTCATTTATTGTTTGTGGTAAATGAAATGCTTCGACAGCTGTTGGACCAAAATGTGGATTTTTCTTCGAATATGTGCCATAGGCCAATACATTTTTGCCAAAAAAATTAAGAATTAAGCCAAAAGTTTCAAATTCTTGCAAAATCAAAAGTAAATCTTCTTTCACCAGGTTACTATTGTTTCAATTCAACATATTTCCATAATGCCAATGGAATATGACGAAAACGTGGAAAATTATGGCAACAAAATAAATTCAAGGAGTAAAGATGCGAAAAAATAAAGCACATAGAAAGAAAAAGCAACTGCATAGCAATAATGGAGGCATCATCAGAAAGACTAGATCTTGGGTAGACATGCTTTGATCAAAACAGGATATAAATAACACACTAAATAAACTCCAAACGGTTTGCCCGGAACTGTAAATAGTTTGGCCAAAATGTGTAGAAAAATAATGTGACATATTATAATATCAGTGAGGGGGATTAATTCATGTTTTCATTGAAATTTGGAGCCATGAAAAAGGTCTTGAATTAATGTTGAGTTATTATTTAAAATTAGTGTCTGCAAAGTATAAACCACATCACTGAAAACAATTAGGAATAAAAAAGACAGAAAGAAAATGTATTTTTCACCGAAACAACAGCAAACATTGCAAAGGGTTTACTATTGATTTCGTAACCTCGGTGTTAATTTGTAAATATATCCATGTTATTGACACAACAATCTTGGATTTTTATATTTTGATTAATGTTGAAAAAAAGGCTTGAAAATGGAAAGAAGTTTTTAGGCCTACATGATCTTCTTTCAGACACTCACGCTCTTTCACTATGTTCACTAAAGATGGTATAGCGCCGCGCAGCGTCACAGTGCCACTTAATTCGCCTCCACAAAACCGGAGCAGACGACACTGCGGTGCTTTTGTTTTGTAAACAAACTTCTGACCAATCAAATTGCTTGTTTGAGGGTATTTAAATTTTGAATGTGTTATTGTGCGTGCGCGTCAGTAAACTTCTGCAGCGTTGCGTACATTTTAAACATCGCGTTTAAATTTTGAGCAGTTTGTAGCGCTGACGCCAGCGCTATTACCTACGCGTGAACGCTGTCCTAAAGGCTAAACACATGTCCTTAAAATTTTGTGACAGTATTTTTGCAGTCTTTTGGAAGTTTCATCATTTGTTCTTTCATCTGTTCATGGCAACCGTAAACATCGGAGGTGCTGGGGATAACATGTTGAGTATTCGACCAGGAAACACTGCGGAACCGACCGGGCAAACTCACGGAGAAGGCAGGGGAAAGAGCGATCTTGTCCCTGTCAAATTGGAGCCGATAACCACCTTAGAATGCACAATGGCGGGTGACAACATGAGCAGCAAATGCACCAACCCTTCGGCGACACATAAAGGAATGCATAGCCCTTCGGGCACAGCAAGTGATCAAGGTAGGCCTAGGCGGGGAAAGAGTTGAACAAGTTGTAGGCTATTCCGTAACGGATAATTTAACGTGGTCTTCTTCGGGGTCCTGGGCTAGGCCTATAAAACTATGTAGCCTAAAACATTAATCAACTAAAAGCAAATGAAAATCTAAAGTAAACGATTAAAATGAATTTTAAATGAATGCCAAACAGAAGTGAGAATAGACAAATAGGCCTAGGCCTATGTAAATTATGGATTTAGAATAGGCCTACAGGTCTATGCCTAGTACTAGGCCTATTTCACTAGTGATATTTCTAAGGACAGTGAATAAAAAGTAAGTTGATAAAAAGAAAAAAGGGGCCTAGGCCTATAGGTTAAATATAGTAAAATAAATAAGTACCGGCATTAAAAGAGTTCAAAAAGACTCTTCAAGTGACAACATGTCATAAGAAACATTTTGATGTAGGCCAAGTTTGGATTCCATCGGATTTGAAGTAGGTCTAGGCCTAGGGATAGCCTATTTTGAGATGTTTTGGGATTTTTTGTAGGCCTTGGCCTGTGCATGTGTAATGCAGAGCAAACTGTGATTTTTTATACACAAAAATGAGTGTGGATTTTGACTGAAAAGTTTAAAATTCATATTTTCATATTTATTCTTATTCGTGCCTTAGCCTTAAAGCTGGCTAACTAAATGCTGGCTTCACTTCAAATTTAAAAACTTTTGATAATGAAAATCGAGCAAGAACTTGTGGAAAAAGACAATCACAATTTCCTATTAAAAAAAAAAAAAAGAGTTCCCAAATGAACAGCGCCCTCACTCATTTATGCATGTCCCCAGCTTAGGCCTACTAAGCCTCAGGCCCAGATCTTTAAATTTGTACTAGGGTCAAGTGAAATTCTGGAAATGAACCCACAAATATCAATCTTTGTTTGAAATGCTTAAAGTTAACATGGGTAAGTCCCTACAGCTGTGACCAAATTGGCCAGGGGCTTGAAATCTTGTCTTGAAGTAAGCAGCACGCTCTTGCAGTCTCATCCTTGGGAAGTGGAATATTTGTCATGTCTACATTGTACATGTAGTCTTGGCTTTCAGTAAAAGCTTTGAAGCCTGGGCCATTGATAGGCCTTAGTTTGCAAAGATGGTATGTGAGCTATTTGAACATTTAAAACATTTGTTATGGTTTTGAAAAGTAAAGTTTCTCAGTTTTGATAGATCCTGATTGGTCATTTTATTCTTTTAATGAACCAGCAGTTCAACTGCCAACACCTTTCCTCAAGGAAAGATTGACATTTGAATAGACTAAGGCCTATGGGCTATATGTGCATGTACGTATTAATTTTAGTTGACATTGTTGTGTTAAAAACCATCCCATTGTTGACATTAAATCGGTGGTCTGCAACTATATATGGATAGAAATGCTTTACGGTATCTAATCCGTTACGATTGCACATAGGCCTACATAGTTGGCTTCATGTCTCTCTACAGAAGATGGGCCTGTTACGCAGACATCTATTGACATATCCACTTCAACAGAAGATATTCAGAAGGCTACTGTCTCAGAGAAAGCTCAAGAAGTGGTTAGACAAGATTCCTCAGCAGCTTCTAATTCTGGTGGACCACTTCAAGCCAATGAGGCCGCCACCTCTGACATGCATTCAGCCCCTCAAGTCACCATGGAAGCACCACCAGAGGAAGAAAATATCCCCCGCCAAGAAAAAAAGGAAGGATTTGAGTCTCATCCAGGGTCAATCAGTAAAGCTGTTGCGGAGACAACTGGCATGCCTCCTCTCCAAGAAAACCGCTGCGATACATCTCCTGATCTACAGGCCCAAGTACATGTATCCAAAGAGGCCAACCAGACCGTCGCAAGCCTGCCAGCATCCTTGGGAGCTAGTGTCGAGCCATCATCCTCCACTACCAGCGACTCCATAATGCAAGACCTCGGTTTGTTTGGAAACAACAGTGCTCATTCCGTCACGGTGGCAAGCTACTGTCAGGTGGAGAATCTGCAGCCAAGCATTGGCCGTGCCGGCCAGGCTTCATCCAGCCTTGGCCTTTTCAGCGGGCTTTCTCAACAGCAAGAAATCGTGGACTCTCTTCCTGGCATCAACACTCTGTCTCCATCCTCTAATCTGGTGCATGGTGTGACCGGAAGTCTAAACAGTTATGCCTCTCAGAGTGATCTCCCGTCAGGTAACATGATGAACAACATGGTTTATGCTGCTGTGCCCCTTCAGCAAACAGCAAGTGGAATGCAGGTTTGTGTTCTTAAAAACTAATTTTACTTCCTGCTCAGATATACTTGTGTGAAAAACATCATTTGCTTTTACAAAACAGATTTTTGTCTTTAGTTAAACCACTCATGAAGTCATTCCATTCAAAAAAGTGTTATTTTTATTGCAGGTACATGTATCACTTGCAACCTCTGCCATGCAATAGGCCTAATGAGACATGCGCTTGACAGCTCAAGATAATCTAGGAATGGGGCGATTCGCAATAGTGCGCCACCATGAGTCTCTAACGCGTTGGCCAATCACAATGCGCGAAATCTGTCTACCTAATGCGCGTTCAGAAAGGGTCGACAAATTTTACGCTTTGTGATTGGCTAATGCGTTGCAGATTCTTGGGGGCGCACTTTTGTGATTCACCTGTATTCATGTTCTCTTTACTTTTTTCAAGTTGCCATGTTAATATTTTTGGTTTCATATTCAGTGGCAATTACAGATTTTCAGCTCAGTTTTGTTCTATTTACTAGACATCCTTCTGTGTTTTTGTATTTTTATTTTTTATTTACGTCCTTATGTTGATTATAACCTAATTTTTATCATTTGTCTTTGAGTATTTTTAAATTTGCATAATATAAAAATTTTTCTCAAATTTCACTGTCAACATTCATGTTCACGACTAATATTAACCAATATACTTTGCTTCAACTCATCTGTTATATCTATACTGGTCCGTAAACATGAAACAACAAAACAAATAATAATCTATGTATAATTTTACCAACTTACCCACTAATACTTCTCAGATGACATTCCCAATTCAGGCATTTTCCACAGAAATTAATCTCCTGCGGTGAGAGGGATTCTTTGATGTAGATATTCAAGTAGCAAATTCCATGGTCGGTGACGTAGCCTCCATTTGAATAGACAATGTGATTCCATAAATCTGCTGCTAACCAACAAATCCAGTATATTGTTTCTTTTAAGCTGTCACACTAACACTGATGTGAAAATCCATCCGAATTTGTGAGGTACTGAAGAGACTGTCTACACAGTAAAAATCCACCAATGGTGACTGCATGTCTCTCTGTGTGTGACTTTCCATTCCTTGGACAAATGTACATGTACTGTGCATCTTGATCATGAATGGAACAGTAGTTGTGCACCATCCATAGTTAAATGAACTCAGTGAAGCGTTAGCGCATAATTAAGGGCCAAGGGTTGCAAACTCTAATGCAAATAGCTAGCCACCCCGGGCCAGAACAATAGATTAAATTCTTCTCATAGCTCTAAGCATTAGTAAGAATTGACACTTTTTGTTCCCTTGTACACTGGGCAAGACTGGTGGCAGTTAAAGAGAATGGCTCAAAAGGTAGAGATTCTTTCGTTTCAGTGGCACAGACCCTTTTGCATTCTCACCCATTCAAAACAAAGAATGCTTTTGTTAATTCTCCTCAACTCAATTCTGTTGACAGTTATTGTAGGTTACTGCAGTGTTGAAGGGTTCTTGGGGTTAAATTCAATTTAAACATTATTACTGTATCAAGATTTAATTAAGAATATCCAATTAAATACTGGGGCTTTCCTGAGGCTAAGTATTTTATTGAATTGGCTCAGATACACTAACATATATTTTAAAGTCTGAATCTAGTATACAGTGTATTTGTAAATTTAAAGTGAATTAAAAAAGGTTCAGCCTAATTTATTCTAACCCTTCAAAAAATGAAATGACATTTTGATTGAATTTTTATATGCCATTACAGCTTGCTGCAATCCATCCAAATGGCAATGGCTACAGCCTTGGTCGACCCAATGGGCCAACCAGACGAGTTCTTCTTCCTCGTGGACGCTCTTCAAGCAACACCCCCAAGGAGAACTCCTTCAAGGAGAGCATCACTCCACTGACCTACGACAAGCCCAATGTGGGTCTGGTGCAGCAGATCATAGAGGTGTTCCGGGCGACGGGCAAGAAGGAGATGCAGCCGTGTCAGATCTATGACGGCCTCGAGTGAGTGAATTCAAAATTCCATGAGTCATCCTCTGGAACTCATCCTCTTCCTTCCTGTGAAATTGTGCTTCTATCACAGCAAGATGCTAAGGGTTTGTGACATTCAAGTTGGGAAACTGTATATTATACACTTTGTGGGTTGGCATTTACAAACATGTTGCACGTGGGGGGGGGTACAGGGTACCATTGAACCAATGATGCCCAAGCCTCTCAACACTGTCCTGCCCTCCCCTACATGAAATTGCTATCAGACAATGGATCGACAGCAAGCAATCTTCAAAAGGCATTATTGAAAAGTTAGATTTCCCATTATGAAAACTTACATTTGAAAAGAATGTCAGTTTAAAGTCTGCGCAACTTTTTTGTTCCCTGCAGATGCTGCTATCCATACTATCTTCGCATGAATCCAAATAGGAAAAAAAGCTGGATGGTGAGTATCCCGTGTTTTTCTTCCACTATCCTCACAGAGAATTCAGCATCTAAATTTGTTTAAAAACAAATTCCTCTTCGGTACACAAAGACAAAGCAGAATGATGCAATTTATTCTGAATATGATCATACTGAAAAGGAAATCTACTTCCATCATAACCCAAGTCTGAGACAAGTTTAATATCTGGTAGAAAATATCCTGCAGTGTACGGTGAAAGTTTTATCGCTCAGTGAGTGTAAATGATATTTTTTTGAAAATCAGCCATCTAAAGTCTTAGTGTCCTCTTTACTCTCTCAGAGTTCTGTCCGACACGCACTTACGACTCCCTTTTTCAAATCCCGACGGGCTGATGACTCTGATGGCAAATTGGCACCTCGCAAGGGCAGCTTCTGGTCCATCAATGACAGCTATGACCCCAATGCCAAGCCCTCGAAACGCATCACCCCAGTCAAGCGCCCACTGGGCAGCCCGACTTTTCAGCGGCGCCAGCCCTTGCGGGTCAGCACACAGCAGGCCAACTGGCAGCCCTTTGGTGGCCACAACCAACAGGCCCAGCAGCATCGTAGCGGGACTCACCACAGTCCCTACAACTACTTCAGCCCCACCAGGGGGAGCTTCTCCCCCATGGGCCCATCCAACATGCCCATTGTGTACTCCCCAACCCAGGTCTACCAGCCACAGACGCCAACAGCAGCTCTCCTCCCCAATGGCAAGATGATCTACCTGTCTCCTGCAGATGACGATTCTGGTTGTCACCATAATCAGTCCTTTGGGGGCGGGCGAGATGTGTACCAGGCATGGACAGCTGACACCAACAACGCCGCTCCAAACCTGTGGCAGGTCGTCCAAAACCTGGGGAATGAGCCCTGTAAAGATCAGACCACTCAAAACCGATTCTTTGGCGGCACTTCGAGCGGAGGGCATCAGCAGGCTGCCAGTAACATGAACTGCAATAACACAGCTACGGCCGCAATGATGGGGTTTGCCAACCAGCAGCAGCAGCAACAGCAGCAACAACAGCAGCAGCTGTTCCAGCAAGCTCAGCTGCAGCAGCAGATGCAGCAGCAGATGCAACAGCAGGTGATCCAACAGTCCCAGCAACAACCCTCCACGGAACCTGATCCCTTTGCCGTCGCCCTGGAGCTGAGTGAGATCAAGGGAAAGCACGAGTCGATAGACAACCCTCCCCTGGACATCAAGCCGCAACCGGATGAGGCCACCAACAATGCCGAGCAGGCAGTCACGGTTGCGATGACTTGCAGTCCCGAGGAGCCGCAAACCATCCTCGAGGAAGCATCCCAAAGCGCTCAGCTTACAGCCAAAGGTATGGACATTACCCCTTACACACGAACAAGCTCCCAGTTCATTTTGCATTTGCTTATCAACTGAAGCTAACAATTGTTAAGTTTGGCAAATTTTACTTTAACAGCTCAGTTTTCAAGCACTTAATTATTTCCCATCTCATGATGGAACACGCAGCTACTTAAGAACGGTGAGCTCACTTTTGTTTGCTTTTTTCCAGCAGAAGCCAGAGACGAGTCCCAGCAGGGTTGTAGCGAACTCCGCACCATGGTCTACCACTCGCTGGGTGTCTGCAATGACCTGGAGGCTAGTCCTGCCGTCAGTGACATACCTGCTCCCACTCAGCTCAACACAACCCCCGTGAGCCAGTTCAGCACCCTGCCCACAACACAGTACCAGCTCATCCACTACAGTGGCAGTGACCAACAATATGAAGGTATGGTCATTTAGATAACACAGAATGCCCAAGGATACAATTTACGGCCAATCCATCTTGTACACGACATATGTGTTTTGCCCATATAAGAGTTTGAAAAATTAAGTGAATGTTACACAAGTATTCACTTGAGTGATTTTGAAAACTAGCCTCCCAAGATGATTTGTTGTGCTTTAGTCAAATTTCCTAATAGCTTCACCTTGGGAAAGAGATTTGAAATGGATCTCCTTAAGATGCTAGATTTACTGTACCACACATTTTGTAGAGGCAAAAACTGCGCATTTTAGTCATGATCACTGTAATATTGTTTAGTGTGTGATCTATTACACATGTGCACCATTGGTGTGTGCATTGTTGGTACATTTATCATTTTGTTTTAAGTCACACAAGTTACAATTTGTATATATTAATTCTGAACTCAAAACAACATTGAGTTAGTATTGACTTCCTTGACAAATTTCGCCTTTTACATTCCTGGTTTTTAGACTACATTCCTTTGACAGTTATGACTTTGAATTAATGTAAATTCTTCTGTTCAAAAATTTGAGCACGTATATTGTAATAATTGATTTCTTCCTTTTTTTAACCCAAAAGTTGAAACTGGTCATTTGTAAAGATTTTATTCTTCGATGTTTGTTTACAGCTGTTACTTGTACCAAAATTATATAATAATTAATGGAAAAAGATCTTTTTCCGAAATAGTTCAGATAGAAGTTAACTGTTTACATTTTATGTAATTGTCATCTTGAAAATAGTTCGCGGTACCCGCTGCTTCATTTGACTCGGACCGGCCAGCCGACCCCAGCAAGCTCGGTGGTCGAGTGGTTAAGACATCTGCACTAGTAAGCAGGAGGTCATGGGTTCGAGTCCCACCCGAGTAAGCTTGTGAGGTTTTTTTCACAAGCTCTCGGACAAGCACTGAGCATACAGTGCTTATTAATATACGTTGGGTACGGGCAAACCGTTATATATAATTAACATCTTCCCAACGCAAAAATACATCTTGAAAGTAATTGTCATCCTCGTGCCAAATATTCCCATGTAATGTAACATCCATTAAAAATCAAAATTTACAGAACGTATTTTCTTCCATATTTTAAAAAGAAAGAAATGACAAAACGTTTTTGTCAGCTTCTCAAATCAGTAAAGTACATTCTCACAAAAACAGAAGTACATAAAAACTGCCTATTTATTCACTTGCCATTATAATTCATACATTTTTGCCTAGAGATTTTTCACAATATCAAAGTATTGGTCTATTTTGTCACTAGAAAGTATGATATTTTGAAAAATAGGTTTTTCACGTAACTGATTTTGTTCAAGAGAATGTTTAGCTACAAATAAACCAGTTATGTATTTTGGTAAAAGCCTTGTGTGGTGTATTATCTTTATATGTCTGAAGTCATGTGACTGATTTTCTTGTTCACTGACAGAGTAATATAAAAAAGTGAATTTTGTCAAATCAGTACTTAAGTTCCCTGAAATAAATTGTTTCAAATCACCAAATTCATGGCATACATATTGATTCTTTAAGCTTTTATATTGGCGAACTTGTCTCTGGCCCCAACTAGCAAGAGTTGGTTGGACTGAGTTTGTAAGGCCCTAGAGGAAGGAGTGGGGGGGGTGGGGAACTTGACCCAATTTCAAAATTGTCAATTGTTTTTTTGCCTTCCACTCTTAATATTTTGGACAAGAAATATCTAAATTGTTCTTAAGTTCTGCACTACTTTACAGAAATCTTAAAACCTGCTGTACATGTGTATCAAAGATTAAGAAATGCGGAAGTTCATAATGAAAACACATCATAATTATATTCCCGATTTCCCACTTGACGACGTTACAACAGAATATAAGTATTGTGGACCATAGAGATTCATTTTATAATATGCCATCATGACTAGCTGTCATCTTGCATGTGTGGGCCTGTGAACAAGACATAACACACATAATGCAGGTTGTGTGAACCTCGTGGACTAATCCAGGCCAACCTAAGGTTTTCCCCTTTGAAAAACAGTATTGTGCATTTTGGGGTAGGGTTATCAATAAAAAAAACCCAGCTTAAAAGAGTAATTAATACTGAGCAAGAAAAAAATGAGTGTTTTCTCGACATTTTCTGAACTATACAAAAATGAAGAAATGCCTCCTGTAAGTATGTAATGCAAATGTGTGAACCTGTACAATGCTTTTGCCCCGCTCTTGCAACTCGGGCAGATATAAAAAAAAAAGACAACCCCAAAAAAGATCCTTAGCCATAAATCTGTACAAAAAGAAATGCAGAACTGTACTTGACTGCCAAGTGCCTCCAGGGAAAGCCTCACAAGACCTTGTACCGTCCCTTGTTGATTGGTTGGTAAGAGTTTTGCTGCAAAGGAAGAAAGAATCAAGTGACAATAATGCACCTCAACCTCATAAAATGAGGCCAAAGCCTTTATACCCTATTCTTACAGTATGCTTTCAGTCAGATGTATGCCATTTCATGACAGGTTTTGGGTTTTATACCAATAATTTAGTGAGTGCTTGCTACTAAAGTTACTTTATTCTGTCATCACAAAAGAGAGAATTTTTTACTCACTGTTAACCATCACTTTGGAAGGGCCCGAAAACAAGGCTGAAAAAGTATCTCTCCAAATCACTACTTTCAAACTATCTTTCTGTGGCAAACTGAAGGGACATCCACACTGCAGGCATCATGGGATGAAACAGAAGTAATTTTTTCACTTACCAGTCTAATTAGTTCTTCCTTGATGAGTCGAGTGATTTCTGCTTTGGCCTTCTGGACGGCAAGTTCATTAGCACCTAAGAAAGAATCAATGAAAAAGTTTCACATAATGCACTGCTGAAGTACCTCAATACCTCAAGCAAGCATGGGACCAACTGAGAGGCATCTTTTTTTTCAGAAATGCCTCATGCGTCACATAAAGACGCAACAAATTTTAGCACATAACTCCTTTTCCTCATCCATTTCTCTTCGGTGTTTTGGCCGGACTTACTCTCGATGGCAAGGTACAGCTTGCGTTCTCCTTCGGCCTCCTTGGGCTCTTTGCCAGGAGGGAAGTAGGTGCCACGGATGGTGATGCCTGCCTCGCTGTACTCTTGGATCTGAGCAAGATTCTCCTGCAGTCAAAACAAAGACATGAAAGTCGTCTCCTTCCCTTATCACTGCGCCACACAGTTAAGCATTTACAGTCTAGTAGAATTTCCACTGCTTGTAGGATTTTGTTTCCAATATATTCAAAAATGTCACCAATGATACCAGAAAATCTGCAATAAGTGAATTCATTCCTTCAAATAAAGACGCACAGATATCTTTCTGCATCTTACCACAAGATGATAAAAATTTGATTGACTACAGTAAATGAGCCAACAAAGAAAAATTTAAGTCTGGTCTTGAATCCAGACTACAGCACCACTTCCAGCCTGGAATCAAGACTACACTGACCTTGGACGTGACCTTCCACCTGGCCGTCTGAGGGAAATCGTTGATCTCCAGTTCCTCTTCGTACTTCCGGAATATTTGCTTCTCCTTCTCTGTGGCTACATCCTCGTCTGTGCCCTTTGGCACATAGTTCAGCTTGGCATTCAACTTCTCAGCCAACTGTTCAGCTATTGTGCGGCCCTGTTGATAAGCGGGGTAAAAAAAACACCACAGGTAAGTATTCAAAGTATGCTGATGACACTTGTAATTCCCGAAGAAGACAGTGTCCTATCAGAGAGACCTATTCCCAGCAATCTTGTAACAACAAGACATGGTAGTATTCTGTTTTCTGTTGTGAGAAGAAAACAGTGGGGCTGAGATTGTGTTTACCGAGACTGCAGGTGCTACCAGTGTGTTGCCCTGCATGACAGCTTGAGCCGCCTGCTGCACTACGCTGACTTGCTTGACGCTCTCCAGGTTGCGGTTGATGCGCTCTGCCATCTTCTTGGCTAGCTGCAGGTTGGCCTGGTTGATGTTGGCTGTGTCCACTGGCTTGACCAGGGTCGGATTGGGCAAGGAGACCGAGATTTCATCGGCTGACACCTCCTTGACGCGCCGCTTGGCTGCGAACATGTTCTCAATCTTGTCGTCGATCTAGAAACAAAAAAATTGGAAGTAAAGCTATTCATATGGAAAGATATTACCGTAAATGCAATTTCCACTGAAAAACATCTCCAACATTTTAATAAAAAAGTTTTCTAAACCACCAAAATTAATCAGCACAGTTAACCATAGTAAATTATTTGTATCTAAAGAAGTCTGGAATTTCTTTTCTAATGAATGAACACTGGCTGTTTCCATTGTAATGCACAAAAAAAGAGGTGTTGAGTTTAGCTGAATTTGAGGGAAATACGGGTCAAGGAACTGAAATTTCTGTCCAAAAGGGAATGCTAAACGATGTACATGAAAGCAGGATAACTGATTGTTTTCAGTTGCTTGGCAGCAGCAATACTTACATCCATTCCGGCCTCCTCTTCGTCCGAGTCTTGCAGGCCTAGCGCCGCCTTCTGCAGCTTTTTCTTCTCGTTGGCCAGCTCGCGTTCTGTGTCGTCAAACTTGAACCCCTTGCCGCTGAAACCGCTGTTGCGCATTACTTTTTTCCCTTCCTGTTTGAAAATAGAAAACAAAAACAGAAGATAAAGGCCGAGTTCAGGCGGCTTGTTCTCGTATGTTCACGAACAGCTTGATTCGTTGTTCTCGGGTTGGCCGCTTTAACACCGGGAACATACATCTGGTTATCGTTGATAGTTAGTGACAACCAACATACAATATGGTGGCGTCCATGTACGTTATTTGAGAGTTAATAATGCTTGGATTACTGGGCTGAATTCTTTTCTATATAAACAGGAACATTCTTTCTGTGTTACGGAAAATGATCGATGTTGATTTTGCAACACTTCCTGTTGTCTCTGGCTTTGTAAGCCATCTCTCTACTTTTTGTGCTGTTCAAAAATCGAAAGCTCACGAGTTTTTCCGTGTGTCCCCGTAAAACACTGACGAGGAAGTGGTGTGTGATCCTGTTCCGAGAACAGTGTTCTTGAGTTGTGTTCCTGCTGTTCGAGAGCGAGAAGAAGAACAGGCCACCCGAACTCGATCTAAATGTCTGAATTTCCAACAGTTCCATGTGAATACTCTGAATCAAGCAGTGAAAATATTAACAGTATGCCGGTCTCTCTCCCGTCCTCGTCTAATCCAGACTTTGTCTTTAGAAAAGGTGCATGAAAGGGCGGGGTTATTTCACATGCATCGTTAAACTCACAGCTTTCTGTTGGTCACAGTACTCCGTCCAAAGAGCCATCAGGTCCGGCGGCGGCTTCTGTTCACTCAGCTCTAATGCCTTGATGATGTCCCCACAGTAACGTTGCTGGTCAGGCATGATGAATGTGTAGGAAAAGCCTTTGTTGCCTGCACGTCCCGTCCGCCTTTTAAGAAAAATGAGTGGGTGGTCTGCAGAATCATATCACATTTTCTTTTGCCAAACGTCCTCAGACATTCCACTCATTTTCATTACACACTGTATATATATCCTCAGATTAACAATGCATGCTGTGAATTGTTTTTTCACAAGTCCTCAAATTTACAAAATGTCCTCAGATGCTTCAAAGTACAGACTATCATAAGATGTTAACGGAATACATCCTAACATTAACTTGCATAATACAGTGGGCATATTTGTACATGTCCTCGGATGTTCCTATCTTTTCACACGTTCTCAGATTAACCCACACCACCTTAAATACACATACCAAAAGGAACCTGCCCGAACATATGGTCCTACACAATGTGTCCTCAGACTCTTACCCAACTCTGTGGACATAGTCCTCATAGTGATTAGGGCAATCATAGTTGACAACTAGGATCAGCTGTTTGACGTCCAGACCCCGCGCGGCCACAGACGTGGCAACCATCAAGGAGACATTACCACTTTTGAAATCCTGAATAAAAAGAGGACTAGAAATGCTGACATGAAAAAGCCTTCATTCAACCACCAACAAGAAGACTTACAACTGGTCATTTCGCAAAGCATCAGAAACTTCTCTTAGGTTTAATCTTCCTTGCCTGAACACCCTACCTGTATAATAGAGTCTCTGTCGTACTGATCAATACCGCCGTGCAGCGCCAGGCAGGGGTAAGACGCTCTCATCAGATCCTTCAACAGCAGGTCAGCTGACTCCTGCCGTTCGACAAACACCAGCACGCTGCCCTTCTCTTGGTACATCCCTAGCAGCTCCAGCAACTTCAGGAACTTCTGCTCCTCCTCGATGATGATCTGTGTTTGAGGATGAGAGAGAGAGTAGCAAATGATGCAGTGTTGAAGGCAGGTCCATCGCAAGCCCTTTATCAAGTCCGCTCACAAGTTTCTTACACAAGACCAGTTATAAGTAACAGGCTATACAATGATAGAAGATACGCTTTTTATCACAGTTAACTCAAAAGGCCTGATTTGGCTCACGACTGGATGACTTCTGATGGAATTCCAAGGATTTGTGATGGACTCAACAATGCTGCTGCGACAGAGTAAGAACATTAGGCCTCCACACAAACACTAGTGTGTCCATATGTTAAGACTAGCTATCAATAACAGAAAGCCACTTGCTGGTGGCTGCGGCTACTTCCCATACATGTATGTGTTAATCCTCGCCTAAGCCATTCAGTTCGGGTTCAACGCCAACAAACCATGATCAGATATGTTTGTCCCATCACTGACAAGAAAGTCAGCTGGTTCCCTGCAATCTCATAATATTCTAGACTTTCAAAAACGAAGCCACAGGAACCAGTCTAGAAGACAAACCTACATCGCCACACTGATTTATATTTGCAATTAAAAATAGGAGGAAATCTTCATTGATGACGAAATAGTCACGTGGGCTTACCACGTGCTGTTCGATGTCAGAGCACACCACACTCCGTCCTCCCACCGTCACCTCGATGGGTTTGGTCAGGATGCGACGGGCCAAAGCTTCCATGGCCCGAGGAAACGTCGCCGAGAACAAAACCGTCTGCCGGTCTGGCCGGATACTGTCGATGATCTTCATGACCTATACATCAAATGAGATACACATTTACCAATATCCCTCTAACACATTCAGCACAAGTGACTGGGCTTTGTGAAGGTATTTCACAGTCCAAATCACACGAGGGTTAACACTCAATAATTGCTACTTTCTGATCGTTTTCTTTTAATTAACACAGAATCAGGGATTTACATGACATTGTCAACCCTTAACCCTTATTATTCTTGAGAACCACTCAATTCTCTAAGGGCAACCTGAACAATAAACTGCATTCTGTCCTCTTCACCGTCTCCCGACTTGACTTTTAACGTTTACTTTTTCAAAACTCACTGTCCACTGCGTTTCCTGACACCAGAGATAATGTTGCCATGATGCCATTTTGGTACCAACAGCCAAGTGAAAAGATTTTTGGCACAGAAATCTCAATTCGCCATTTGAATATTCTCTTACTGAACAATTAAACGTACATTGATAAATTCACAGTAGGCCAATTGAGTGGTTGAGATGTAAAATTAGAAGCGTAAGTTACCTGGGGTTCGAAGCCCATGTCAAACATCCTGTCCGCCTCATCCAGAACCAGATAAGTGCAGCGACGGAGATTGGTCACGCGGCCTTGGAGTCAAACACGATCGGGTTGAGAGAGATGGAGAGACACAGAGAGACAGGGGGTGATACACGAGGGTGGGGACATGCCAGACAGACAGGTGCATGGGAACGGACGTTTGCATGCACGTGGTGATTGCGGAACAAGGAGCAAATGGGATGACACATGAAGTGGAAAACAGCAATTCAGAAACACAGCAAGACATGCACGGAGACGGCCAACATAACCAAACAAAAATACAAAAGGACATGGATATGTAAGTTATAAAACAAAACAAGCCAAAAGCAGAACAGGGTAGTGAGAGTACACATAAGGGAAAGACCATGACGGTGGACAAGAACAGAAAGGAGAAAGACAAAAATATAATTAGTTTCATTGTAAATCATTCCATTTCTGGAACATATATGCTGACAAACGGACACGTTACAAAACATAATGTGAACAGGTTGATACAACCAAATATTACAACCCAAAAAGAAATCCAGTGACATCAGTGACTTTACAGTTTGCAAACTAAAACAAGGGCTCTTTTTACTCTGTCAAGAAATGACAAGTGAACTTTCTCCACTGTTATCCAAACCCCTGCTGAATCCAAGAATACCCAACACTTGGCAGGTTCTTTACTCATCTGAACAGCAAACAAAGACCTTTAGTCTCTAGCCATAAAATTCTTTTGGATATTAAAATAATATTTTTACACAACTATTAGTGCCTTTATTGCCATTAGATATTGTTGAATTCAGCAGGATGATATGAGAGTAGTTTTCTACTTTGAACAGTGCATAGATTCAAATCATATAAGAATTTAAATTGAAGTTTAGCCACAGAACTGCTTCAACTGTTCTTGCATACTAATAAGATTGCAATGTCAGAGGGGAAAGATCGTCCATTAAAAGGTCGCGTATTAACCATTAGTAACACCATGGCTCTAGTGACCCGGTCCAACTTAGTTTTTCTTGTGCTTTGACCTTTTCACCTTTCAACCTCGAACCTGTCAGGGACAGAATTATAAAAAAAGAGATTACGCGCCTTATGTGTGGTATTCAGTATCCCTAAGCTAGTGCCAAGAAAGTAATTCTTGCTCAAATTCCTACCCAAAATGGGATTTTATTGTCAAACAGTCATACCCGGCTTCCCCCATTAAAACCATACAAAATTCCTGAGTACACGTTGGCATTAAAGAGCATTAAATATCAAAGTTTCAGTTGTCCATTGGCAGCAACTTTTACAAATTGTAGCATTCTGTATTCCAAAATAAATTCAGTTCTCTATTACACCGTCCAAAATACTTTCAACGGTGGATTCAGACGTCTTTAAAACATAGTTTGAACTATACTCTGAGAAAACATGTTAAAAATGCCTGTCTAAAGAAAGTCCCATTTTTTAACAAGACCAATGTATTTTGAATGTAACAGAGTGTTTCTGCCTCAGCATTCTTATGGAAAAGATCCTGTTTTGTTGCTCCTTCACAAACTTCTCTGTTAAAACATCTAAGACCAAAGAGAATGGATCAAGTTAGCTGCAATAAATTTGAAAACCTTTAAATTGCAAATCCTCAAAGGAATGTCTAACTCTTCAAAGACAGATCTGTTTAACCCAAACCTCACAAACATCTCAACTTATGATGCTAAAAACATGTCCTCCGTCGATCAAAGAATCTCTGAAATATATTTAAAAATTTCTAATACCTAATGCAAACCAAAATTCTGGGCAGGTACTCCACACATGCTAGGAATTCCAACTGTCTGGGAAATTATTTGTCACCAGAATGGATAAATTGTTTACTCCAAACATTCCTCTTACCCAAGAGACAGCTGAGGCTGCATCCGAATATGCTGTCTAGAGCTAGGTCTAGGTCTTTGCTCCATTGGAAATGCATAGAGACGCATAGACAATAGACCTAGCCGTAGCTCTGGAAGCCCGTTTCCAACACGGCCTGAAACTTGATCGCGAAAGCTTCTGAGAGGTCATATTAGTGAACTCAGGTTACCAGCCAATACCCCATGAAATATGCATCCATTGTGGCTGGTTCCCACTGGATATCTGCTTAACAGCTCCAAGGTCATTTGGTGAAAAACAAATCACGGTCTTGCCCTTCTGCGAGGTGTTTAATGATTCAAACAACATAAGCTTGGCTCTTGGTCGAGAGTTACGTGTCACCACAACCTGGTTTACGCCTATGACCATGCTAATATTTCCTTACCATTGTTGGCTGCCAACATGTCGATCATCCGCCCCGGAGTACAGACGATAATCTCAGCCCCTCTCTTCAACTCTGCAATCTGTAGGAAAAGAAAAATTTCCATGAAACATTGAGAGCCATCTCTACAAAGGAGAGAATACTTCATTGGACAGAAAGCTATGAGCAGTTGTAGCAGTCCCTGGTACCCACCTGTTCACTGATCCCTGTTCCTCCATACACACAGATGACCCTCAGCCCCAGGGACTTGGTAAACTTCTTGCATTCCCGGTAGATCTGCATCGCCAGCTCACGTGTAGGGGTCAGAATCACAGCTGGAGGGTCAAAGGGTCAAAGTGAAAGGTCACAATTCAAGAATCTGTACAATCTGGAAGACTTCCATGTACAACGGGTCCTAAAACTCATTCTATGTACTAAACACTGAGAGTTGCATTTTTTAGACTGATCTGTTGCCCATGCAATCATAGGTGATTTGCTGACTTTTTTCATACTTTTCCCTAAAACTTTAATCTCAATGTTCTGTAGGCTTGAGTAGCTTTTAATGTTGTGCCAGGCGACTTCATGAAGAATATTTCACGAAGTGATGTGGGAGGTAGACTTGGTCATAATTTAATGAAATGTAGCGCCAAGGATGAGGTTTCCACAAATCTTTGGCGTGTTGTGCGATTGATACATTAAAGATTAAAAGTTCTTTCATTGTTTGCATAGCGGAGGCCTTACCGATGGGTCCTTCATTCATTTCCAGCGCATCCTGGTCCATGATGTGTCTGAACATGGGAAGGAGGAATGCAATGGTTTTGCCGCTGCCCGTCTTAGCTATACCAATCAGGTCGCGACCCGACATGACAGCTGGGATGGCCTGAGCCTGGATGGGCGTCGGCTTCTCGTATTTATTCCTGAAAAATGTCCCGCGAAAAAATAATGTTAAAAGATGCGGAAAGTGGTTTTGGGACAAGTGAGGGGACAAGCCCAGAATGGCCTCAGTCTGCAAGAATTGTTATTGAGGAATGAAACCATAGGAATAGCCAAGGTCAAAATTTGTTCCAATTTGTTTGGAATGGTTTTTTGCAGGGGGGGTGTATCAAGGCCACAACTAGTCCCCATAACGCTTAAGCTAAACTTCCTACTTGGGAGTTTGACAACACTTGGGCCTCCTCTGATGGGACAAACACAAACTTACTTCTTCAAGACGGAGAGTACTTTGCTAGACACTCCACACTGTACCCAGGCATCGATGGGCTTAGGACAACCCTTCCCTCGCACCTTGATACCTTCGAGCTCGGCTCGCTTCACCTCTGCCTCTGTCCATCCAATTACAGGATAATATAAAACTTGAGAATTCCAAATTGATAATTTTCTCCATGGAGAAGATCAAATTGATATTAGCCATTTATCTCTGAGATGAGAAAAGATCTTGCTATCTGAGATTCTCTAAGTGATAAACAGTGCAAAACTGTTTGACTAATTGATTAATTGAAAATTAAATGCTAAGCACATTTATAAATATATAATAAGCTATCATGTAGCATGCAGACATCATCAACTGTATTTTTGCCTTATGACAACAAAGTTTGATTCGTTTGCTTTTACATGCTACTTAGAAACAACAATTTTAAATCTTCACATCAGACTGACATGTGCAACTATAATGTAAATATTTAGAGAGAAAGACAAAATCGTTCTTGTCAAAAAAAAAAGTATTCTGTAGTTCATTTGAGTGGTAAACGAAAAAGTCCTTGAGTGGGGACATTCTGACAACAAAATGGAATCTACCTTCGGCCGTCATTTTGGCCAGCTCTGGCACTTCAACATAGAAGTTCTTATTGAAGGGTTTGTATTGTATCTTCGAGTGGTCCACGGCGGCAAGTTCTTTCTTCTTCTTCTGTTCCAGGGCAGCCACCTGGTCCATCAAGTTGCTCTCCTTCTCATCCTCGGAGGAATACTGTCCAAGCGGGGTGGGGAAAAAAAGAAAGAAAGAAATGGAAGAAATTATCTGGAATGAAGTGGTGTACGTTGGGAAGTGGGAATGACATTTCTTACTCAACGAACCACATCATAACTTAATGCAGAGTACTTCATTTAAACTTAAAGCTCTCTGACTTGAAAAAACAGGGACAAATGAAGTATACAAAACGAAAATGCCCAATGCATTATTGCTTTATTTTTGCACAACAAAAGTTAATAGATTTGCAGTTAAGAAATGTTGTCTATTCCAGAACCCTTTCTGGGAACGGCCAAACCACTTTCGACAGGATTATAGTAATCACGGACAAATACGAAAACAAATACGAAATACGCGGATGATAATAACCCAACCTCCATGGCATCCTGGTCGTTTTCCATCAGCTCGCCTTTGGTCAGTTTAGCCACGACGATGGGAGCGGCTTTCTTCTTGATGGCGACCCCTGTCATGATGCTGACCTTTGCCTTCTTGACCTGGGAGGTAAAAAAAAAGGGTCAAAAAGAGGTCAGTCGGGTGAGAAAGGGAAAAGGAAAAATCTTTGATATGCATCTGGCACATTCACAAAAATTCTTCTGAGGGATGGAACCAATGGCTAAAGCCATCCACAAAATCAATGAAGTTGACCTTAGCAGGTTTTACTCTCTTGCCTGCATTTTCTCTTTTTTCTCTGAATTTCATTTCCTAAATCAGACGTTTCATAAATCATGTGTGGGTTTAGAAAAAACATGAATGGAATTCCCTGATCAAAGATTACTCTAATTAGTGGACAGAATATGGCATCAAATTGTAAGCATGGATTTAAACTCCCGACCCTCAGATTACACGTCAAGCAGCCTTAGCATGACATCACACAAGACATCATGCACATGCAGCTACAACTATTTTCCCAAAGAGATGCTCAGCTTGATAACTTTGACTTACTTCTCCATTTCCGTCCGTCTTGTCTCCAGCTGGTAACTCCACGGTCTTATCCTCGGCCACTCCGGTCACCTTCTTGCGGTCCATCTGGTTGATCTTTTTGACTTCCTCGTTAACGCCCAGCATGAAGGCGTCCAGGGGATCAATGTCGTCGTTTTCTTCCTCCTTGACAGCTGCGGCTGCGGCTGCAGCGGCTTGTTCCTGCTTCAGCTCCTTGGCACGGATCTTCTCCTCCATCTTCCGCCGAGCCTCTTCCATCTTCTCCCTAGCCTCCTCTAGTTTGCTCTTGGGCTCCGTGGCTGCCGGCTCTGGCTTGACTGTGCCGTCCTCTGGCTCTGTCTTTACTTCTGGCTTCGGTTCTGTGGTGGAGGTGTCCATTTCCTGATATGATGATTTACGGTTGAAAAAAATATAAATTTAAACAAATACTTGCTGAGTGACTTCATGCTTGTGTCTAAAGTTTGCACTAATAATGATTTTTTTATACTATCAAGACTTACGGCACGCATAGCTTTCATGGCCTTGGATTTACAGCAACTGATTTCATGAAATTTTATGCAATGGTGCAACATTTCTTCATACAAATTTTGCCATGAGTTAGGATGCATCTCACACAAGTTATGCAGTGCCTTGTGTCACAGTTTGTATGCCAATTACAACAACCATAGACTTTGTGTCAAAATAGCTTGTGGGGTCTCTCCAACATATCTTTAACCCTAACTCCTCAGGCCTTTTTGCTAGGTGCCATCCTAAATCCTTTAAATCCTCCAATAATCCATGCCAAAAAATTAATTCCATTCATTCTCAATACTCCAAAATCCTCCCATATTTCTTGAACATGCTCCTTTGAGGGGTGCCCTCTGCCTGACTCCCTCAAAATCCTCTAGGACCTCCGGGAGGATTTGGACGACTGAGGAAGGCTTAATGATTGTAAAAATGCTATAGAAAAAGCTATGATACAAATCCTATCCATGATGTGGAAAACATTTAAAATATCACCTCGGCTACTAATCTGTTGGTGAAGTCGATCGAAAGCACACTGCACAGCCAGATCACGGACATGTTGCATAAAGCTGAAAGCATATTCCTACTTCATGCTATAGCAAATATGAATGCAATTCTTTGACGTTAGATCAAATACCTGCACTATGAATTTGCAAGAGTGAACATATTTGGACACATGTAAATTTTGCTGCTATCATTTCCTGATACCAAATTCTCTCTGCTGGTAGAATGAACATGTCCTCTGTTTCATCCAATCTCTCCGCTTCTCATCCCGTCCAGACTTACCTCGTCTTCTGCCTCATCATCTGCATCTTCATCCCCGTCATCGTCGTCCTCAAGGCTCCACTTCTTGCCACTGGACTGAGCGACGGCTTCAGCTTGCTGCTGTTCCTCTGCCTTGACCATAGCCAGCTCAGCCGTCTTCTTCCGCTCCTGTCTCCATCTCTCGATGCGCTCCCGTCTTCGCTGCATCTCTTCCTCCAGACGTTTTTGTTCCTGCATATGTGTAGGCAATGTTAACAGCCAAATACACCAGGTTTGCCAGAGTTTGCAGGATTAAAGAAAGTAATCAGCCTCTTTGAATATGAAAATGAATAGCATAATTCTTCTTTCCTTAATTCTTTAAAATCCTTCAAACTTCTTGGTAGGTTTTGAAGGATTTGGGAGGGTTAGAATTAAGTGACTTACCAGAGGAAGTCCTTTCTCTTCTTTCACCTTCGGCTTTGCGTCAACCTCCTCTTTGATCTCTGGCCCAGCCTCCTTCTTGACCTCGGCCTCTTTCAAATCTGCAGTGCCAGGCTCCTGCTTGACCTTTGGCGCTTCAGCTGGGGCAGCCTCCGGCTTGGCGCTGCTGCGATGGGGACTACGGGACGCTGAATGGCGTCGTCGATCACTGCGCTCCCGACTGCGGCTGCGTGACCGGCGCTTTTTTCGGTCGCGACTCCGTGAGCGTGATCGCCGTCTGTCCCTGCTGCGGGAGCGCGAGCGCTTGCGTTCTCTGCTCCTAGACCGTGCCCTGGACAGAGCAGAAAAAAACAAAAACTCACTGTCATCCCTTAAATTTGGGAGTTCAATTCAAAACATGCTTTAGTCTTTCACTGAAACACGAACTTCTGAGTTCACTGGTGGGACATATCGATAGAGAATCTTAAAATTTTATCACAAGAAACAATGTTTATTAGCCTTTGATTGCCGTTTACAGATTATTGCGTTTCAGATAAGATTCAATTAATAGTGACAAATTAATTTGAAATTACCAACCTCCTTTTCCTGTTTCTCTCCCGTTCACGTTCACGTTCCCGCTCACGTTCACGTTCCCGTTCGCGTTCCCGTTCTCGTTCCCTTTCCCGTTCCTTCTCCCTCTCCCTCTCCCGTTCCTTCTCCCTCTCACGGCGTCTTTCCCGTTCTCTCTCGCGCTCTTTTTCACGTTCCCGTTCTCGTTCCTCGCGGTCCTTGGAGTGGGATCTGGACCGTCGGCTCTTGCTGCTGCGCGAGGGGGTCCGGGATCGCGATCTGGAGCGTGAGGTCCTGGATCGGCCTTTGCTCCTTGACGACTTTTTCTCTGAGGGCGTCCCAGCTCGGTCCTTCGACTTGGACCGTCTGCTCTTGCTCTTGGCCGGGCTCTTGGACCGAGACCGTGACTGCGATTCCCTGGATTTCCCTTTGCTCTTGGAATGCTTCTTGACGGATGGACTTGGTCCCCGGTCTGGGCTTGGAGAACTGCTGGACGATGATGAGGAACTGGTGTGAGACTTCCTCCGACTCTTCTGTTTCTTTCTTGAGCGGCTGGTGCGTTCTGAGCTTGAGCTAGAACTTGAATGTCTCCGATAGTGCCTAGTACAAAACAAAAATCATAACATTGAAATTCATATGTCAGCAAACATGTCTTTAACCCTAACCGCCAAGCATATTGTTTGGCTTACAGTACTCAGTACTACAAAATACCAAGTACCAGTAGCCTGAGCCTAAAGGACCTAGCGCTACAAATTACTACTTCTGGCTATGTTACTCGTACAGAGCACAATAAAGCCGCCCATTCATAGTGCCACAGCACTGTATGGTACATTGTCTTTTCTATTGTATCTTATGGCTTCAGAGAACAATACGGTCTTGTCCTCTTATAAGCGGCAGCACTGATTACTACATTTTACTACATGTAGTAATTTGTAGCATTATGTAGGGTTAACATGTACTGTTTGTGTATAATTGATATTGGTCATTCTGATATTTCGATGTGCACTGCTAGGGCCTCGGCCTATGTACATGTTTATCTGAACTAAACAAATTCTGTTCTTCAAATGACCACTGTCCCGCAAGGCCATCGTCTTAGGAGAATGCAGTGGCCCGATGAATATTTCAGTGACCCTGAGCCAGCAGACCACCGTTAATTTCGACCCCTGCGGTTGAAATGGCTGTTGGCTGCAGCGTGCTGGGAGTCTGCTGCTGAAAACTTCGGCAGTAGGTGGGGTAGACCACAGCCTGGCAAAGACCCCTGTACTCCTGTCATGCCATGGCATTGGCATATAGCGCTAGCGGATAGGGTACACGCATACACAGGGTACATCATGTGCGTGTTGTAGGTAGCTCTACTGAGTGGACAATTAGTATTCCTCTTTTTCAATTTTGGATAGGATCAGTCA